AAAGAGAGAGACAGGTGAGGACAGAGAGAGAGTGGGGAACAGGGAAAATGACAGAGGGGTAGGAAGAGAAATAGAGGGAAAGAGAGAGGCAGGGGGACTGAGGTGGACAGAGTGAGAGTGAGGAGGGACAGAGGGAGTGAGGGGGGTACAGATGGGGAGAGAGGCAATGAGAAGGAGACAGGAAGGGGTGGCAGAGGGAGAAAGAGGGAGAGACCGAGAGAGAGAGAAGAGTGAGGGAGAGAGAGGATAGAAAGAGAAGGGGCAGACAGAGAAGCTCAGAACAGAGAGAGATAGTGAGAGAGAGGAGCCAGGCGGGGAGGGGGGCACAAAGGGGAAAGAGAGTGGGACAGAAAGATGGGAGGGGCAGAGAGAGAGAACGGGTCGAAGTGAGAAAAGAGAGAGGTGGGACAGAGAGAGATGGCAGCAGGGAAGAAAGACGGTGTGGAGAGAGATTAGCAGAGGAAGAGAGTGAGAGATAGGGACAGGATGACAGGGGTTTACAGAGGGTGAGGGGGACAGATGGGCAGATGAGGGGGGAGAGAGGATGGGGTGATCGAGGAGGAGAGAGAGAAGGGCTGGTCAGAGGGGGACAGAGAGAAAGTGAGGGGGGACAGATGGAGAGAGAGTAAAGAGAGGGGACAAAGAGGAGAGGGAGAGGAACACGGGGAGTGAGAAGCAGGATACAGAACATAGAGAGAGAGGACAGAGAAAGATGGGGGACAGAGCGAGACAGAAAGTGATGGAGTGAGAGAGAGGGGGCAGAAGGGCAGAGAGGAGACAAAGAGGAAAGAGATAATAAGAGAGAGGGATAGGGACAGAGAGAAGGACAGAGGGAGGGTATAGAAGGAGAGACTGTGGCAGGAAGAGAGGGAGAGTGAAAGGGGGACGGGTGAGAGAAACAGAGAGCAGGTCAGAAGGGGTAAGAGAGTGGGGGCAGATGGGACGAGAGGGAGTGAGAAGGAGAGAGAGTGATCGATGGGGGGAAAGAAGGAGTGGCAGGAGAGAGCGAGAGAAGGGGACAGAAGCGGAGAAGAAGATGGTGCTCAGAGGCAAACAGAGGGAGAGAGATGGAGAGAGAAGGTAGAGTGAGGGGGACAGAGGGAGTGAGTGAGAGGGCACAGAGACAGAGAGAGAAAGAGGGAGAAATAGAGGGAGAGAGGGGGGACGGGACAGAGTGAATGACAGTGACACTGAGAGAGAAGGAAACAGAGGGGGAGAGAGAGGAAGTGTGAGAGAGAGGGACACGGAGAGAGAAGGAGACAGATGGGGGGAGCGAGAGAGAGGGACATGGACAGAAGGAGAGCGAGAGAGGAGGAGGAGAGGGGGAGAGGCCGAGGAGGCAGAGAGGAAAGATACAGAGTGGGATGAGGACAAAGAAAAAGTGGAGTGGAATGAGGAATAGAGAGAAGAGAGAGAGGGTGAGAGATGGACAGAGGGAGAGAAAGGGTATCAGAGGGGGAGAGAGTGAAGGACAGGGACAGAGGGAGAGTGGTGAGCGCAGTGTGGTGGAAGGAAAGAGCAAGAGGGGCGGAAAGAGGTATATTGTAACTGGGGAGTGATATTGCAAGGGTCAAAAGGAGAGGGAAAGGGATGAATTCTGCTGATGCCAGGTCGGGGTGGGTGATCCAGAGGTGAAAGCAAGGACAGAGTGACTTAAACACCACTCCTGAGCTTGGCCCCCGATTCCTCCCCTTCCCTGAGGACCAGGACCTGAGGCCGAATCTGTCTCTCTCCAGCTCAGCTTCTTCAACAAAAAGACACATGAAATATAGTATGCTCTGCTGCTTGGGATATTTACATGAATATTTTTATTATTTACAAATTGAAGTTACAGATATAGGAAGTGATCTGGCCCCTGGGTTGATAGAAACATTGAAAGGTGTCCCAGTAACCCCATGTGGGATAAAGTTGGACAAGCTAGCGACATAGTGACAGGCTGATTCATTGCTGAAAAATTGAACTGAAATGAGAAAATCCTGGATTGATTGATTGATTAGTTTGAGTAAAAGGATATTTCAAAACATTATTCAGCTGCTGTCTGAACTTAGTCTGGGTCACGGCATAAATCGCGGTGTTTGTGCAGCAACTGAGGAGCTGCAGCATGAAGCCCAATTCCTGCACAAAGCGATCTAGATACACAGAGTCATACCCAATAAACCACATCCGATACCATATAGTAAAAAACATTAATGTTGACCATAATAGGATGAAATTAGCTGAGATCACAAACAGTAAAATGATGGATTTTTTTCGATTTTGCATTTCAGTGTCACACTGAATGTTCCCATTAGTGTGAGCCCGGAGTCTCCTGCGGGCTCTGCTGGTTACTAAAATGTGTCTGATGGTGAAAACATTGAGCAGCAGAATCAGAAGAAATGGGAGAGCCGGGGTTAGAATGTGATGGAGGAACTCGATTGTGGTCCAGACACGGGAGTAAAGAACTTGTATTGTTACAAAACAAAACCAGGGGGAGTTCTCCAGCAAATACTGACTTGAGAGCATAAAATACCAGAAAATATTCTTTAAAAAACTCAGCGCAGTCACTGTTCCCAGAACCACAGCTGCCGTTTTCTCACTGCAATATTTACTTTTCAGCTTCTGGCAACAAATGGCCACAAATCGATCAAAGGTGAAAGTGACAGTGAACCAGACTGAACAGTCAGTGGCTGCATAAACGAGGATGGCCTCGATATTACACACGGGGATGGAATCTAGGAAATAAAACTGTTCCTTATAGATAATCGGAATGTGTCTCAATATCAGATCGAGGATAATGACCAGTAGATCCGCCACTGCCATGGCCGCCAAGTAAAGTCTGACACATGGAGACAATCCACAATCTTTATAGAGCAGGACGAAGATCGTCACCATGTTAACTGTGAGGAAGGTAAACAAACAAATTGTACATCAGCTTGGAGGCAAAGTAACCAGTTTGATTGAGGATGGAATGAGATTTTCAAATGTTTGACTGTTTTCAGAGATTTACTGAAATAAATGGAGCTGAAATAACAAATGGGAAGTTTTGAATTACGTACAAAAATGCGATGTAAAAGACAAGAAACACTCCCTCCCCAAACACACAGAAACTCATCCATAAGAACAGGTGGTTTCTAGAACATTCCTACACTCTCGATCACTCGACAGCAGGCACAGGTCACTTCTTCACAATTACTAGTACGGAGGGTGAAAACGTTGCCGTCTTGAAACATTTTCTGCCAGTTCCTTGACGACAAATGGAGGTTGGAAATTTCTGTCTTTATTCTAAATGGTGTTTGATCCTCTTCTGTGAAGAAATGTAAACGTAGGGAAAACATATTCACCCCTTTAACTGCTTGAGGTAAATTAGAATCAGTGTGTCCTCTTCCCTGGAATGGGATCGCTTCCCTTGGGATCTTATCTTTTGTTCAATTAACTCACGTCCAGCTGTTTACAAATAAGTTGTCATAGAGTGTTCTGGAGAAGGTCGGTAATAGAGTGTACTAGGGAATGTTAGTTATGGAAAGTCCTGAAGAATGTTGGTAATAGAATTTGCTGGGAAATATCAGTTATAGAATGTTCTGGAGAATTTCACTTCTAGAATTTTATGGATGGTGTCGTTAATAGAATGCTCCAGATAATATTCCAAACAATTCCCAGGATCAGAAAAAGGCCAGTTTGCCCCAATATGTGACTCATGAAGATGGGCAGAGTCGTTTGCTTTTCAAAACACATGGTCACTTGCTTCAAGTGTATCATGAGGCCATTCAGCCCTTCAAACCTGCTCCACCATTCAATAAGATCGTTGCTAATCTGATTGCGTCCTGAGCTCCATGTTACAAGAAATTCCCTCATTTAACCCCCTGGGCTTGTGTTACTGACCTGATGAAACTCGAGCATTTTTACACTGATTTTCTTCATTCAGATGTTCGGGAGCTATTTCCACAATGATGGACTCTTTAAACAATATATTCCATCAGATTTAAACTTTAATCTTATTTGAAGAGTATCTTACACATTACAATCAAAAATATGCATTCATTTTGTAAGCATCAAGATTCATTTACATTTCGGATATGTGGCTATTTCATTTGACTCACTTATTGCATTTAACCAAGGTTAGCATCTATTTCCTTGTCTCATTATAAAATAATTAAAATAAGTGGTCTTGAGTAGGGAATATGAGGAATTAGGAACAAAATTAAAGAACAGGACCTCAGGTGTTATAATCTCCGGTTATGACCCGAGCAACATGTAAATTGGCACAGAAAGGAGAAAGTTTGGGAAGTAAAAGTGTCACTACAGGAGTGATGCAGGAAAGAAGGGTCCCATTTCTTGGGGGACTGGCATCAGTATTGAGGCAGGAAGGAACTGAATCATTGAGATTGGCTCCATCTGAATCGATCTGTGAACAGGTTGCAAGTGGAAAAATTAAATAGTGTGGTCACAAGGACTGGAAACGAGTTGAAGGGAGAGGGCTCATGAGAGGTTATGATAGTTTCCAGAACAAGTAATAGGAGTGAGTGAGTATGGATCAAGTCAGTAATCTAATTTCAGGCACAGAACATAAGGGAAAAGCATGAAAAGGGTGACAATTAACGCAGTAATGAGTGTGTTGTACTTAAGTGCATGCAGCACATGGAACAAGGTAAAGGAGCTTGAAACTCAGATTGAGTTTTGCGATTACAGTGAAGTGAGCATCACAGAGATGTGACTGCAAAAGTACCAGGGCTTGGAAATAAATATCCTTGGATATATCTCCTATTGAAAGGACAAGCAGATAGGTAGAACGGGCAAGGAAATCTTGTTAGTATTAGCAGGAAGTGAAATATGGCCAGAAGGCGTAGAATTCATGTGGGAAGAGATGAGGAAACGCAAAGAAAGAAAAAGTCCCTGTGGGAGCTATATGCAAGCCTCCCAGCAGTAGTCAGGAAGTGAGACAGAAAATAAACCAGGAGGTAGAAATGCCATGAAAGAAAGACACTTTTACAATAATCAGAGGTGGTTTCAATTTTCAGGTGAACTGGGAAAATTAGATTAGTAGCAGATCTCAAGATAAGGAATTTGTGCATTTTTCGGACCAAATAATGCTAGACCCCACTGGGGAATAGGTAATTCTGGATTTGGTGATGTATAATTATTCAGTTTTGATGAGAGAGCTGAAAGTGAAGGAGCCTTTGGGGACAGTGACTTCAATATGATCAATATCATCCTGCAGTTTGAGAAGGAAAAGCTGGAATCAGATGTAATAATACTGTTGATTAAAAGGAGCTACAAAGCTATGATAGACGAGCTGACCAGAGATGATGGGAAGGAGAAACAAGCAGGAAAGGCGGAGAAGTAGCAATGGCTGATTCTGAGGGTAATTCAGGGGGCACAGCAAAAATTCATTCCAAGGAATAAGATACGTACTGAGGGGAGAGAGAGGGAAGAGAGGAACATGACTAATGTAACACCCTGTTTAAGGTGGATCGAAGACAGAAGATGGGAAATTATAGGCTGGTTAGGCTGACCTCGGAAGATGGTTAAATTTTTTTGTCCATTATTAAGAACGAGATTGTGAAGTCTTTGGAAGTGCATGGTAAACTAGGGCCAAGTCAACACCACTTCGTCAAGTAGAATTAATGCCTGATAATTTTGTTAAAATTCTTTGAAGAGGCAACGGACAAGTTAGTTAAAGGGGAGCCAGTGGATGTGGTCGACTTGGATTTGTAGGAGGCTTTGATAAGGTACCACATAAGAGGCTGCCAAATAACGTAACTGCCCATGGTTTTAGGGGCAAGATATTGACATGCACAAAGGGTTGGCTGACTGGCATGTGGTCGAGATTAGGGGTAAAGCAGTCTTTTTCAAGATGGCAGCCGGTGACTAGCAGAGTTCCACGAGGGTAAGTGTTGAGACCACAACTGTTCACGTTGTATAGAATCGATCTGAATGAAGGAACTGAGGTCATTGTTGCTATGCTTGCAGATAGCACAAAGACAGGTGGAGGGAGGGACAGATAGAGTTGTGGAAGAAGGGAGGCAGCAGAAGGACAAATCACTGAAAGTGGCAGGAAACTTTAATAACATAATTAAGAAAACATACGAGGTGCTTTATTATTCAAGGCAGTAATTCTAATAGCGGTGAGATCATGTGGGCTGTTCAGATCTTTGGTTTAGGCCACAGCTGGAGTAGTGTGTGCAGTTCTGGCCATTGCACTATAGGAAGGACGCGATTGTACTGGCCTGGGTGCAGAGGACGTTGCCTGGGATAAGACCACAAGACAAAGGAACAGAAGTAGACCATTCATCCCATCGAGTCTGCTCTACCATTCATTGCTGATCTGATAAGCCCCTTTCCTTCCTTTCACATTTGATTCACTTGTTGATTAAAAATCTGTCCATCTCAGCCTTGAATATACTTAATGACCCAGCTTCAACAGCCCGCTGTGGTGTGGAATTCCACAGAATCACTGAAGGTAAATGTAGTGACTTGAATGAGGTAAGCTACGTAGACCTCAGAATATGAGTTCGCTGATTGAAGATGTTAATGTGAGTCAATCAGGGAGCCCTGGCTTGCAGGTATAAACAGGTGTGTCAGAGGTTCTGTTCATTCTGAGAGCTGGCTCTGAGGCAGCTGGATCAGTGTCAAGGGCTCTCCACGGCAAATAAAGGATGTCTTGGTGACGAGATACCAGCCTCAGTTGAGTTATTTCAATAAAGTTATCATAGACCTGCTGAGCCGTAGGGCTATTCTCTCATTGGAAAGAGAGGTGGTGGTATAAAATGAGCGTCACCACACCTCAGCTAAGGTGAGAGGTTGAGACGTAGATTCCTCCGTGGGAATCTCAGCCAGTAAGAGAATTGAAGCCATACTGTTAGCATGCCTCTGCATTACAAACCATCTATCCAAGTAACTGAGCTCACCTATCTTCAAACGGGTTCACCACCCTCTGACATGCTGCCTCTTCTTTGTCTTAAATGTACGTCTCCTTATTCTGAGATTCGTTTGTCTGCTCTCAGACTCTCCTACAAGGGGAAACAACCTCTTCACACTTAACCTGTCAAGTCACCTAACAACACTGAACATTTCAATAAAGTCATTGGACAGCAGTTTTGACCGGCATCAATTGTGAGGCTGGGATGTAATGCATTCACCGTCAGTTTGTCAGCTTCTTTTTCTAAAGGGAAACATCTTCTTGTCAAAACAACGGGAAAATGGATCAGTTCTCTTCTTGGAAACAAAATTCCAAAGTATGGGAAAGCAGGAGTAATACTGGTCCACGTACAGGTCACAGGATAAAGAAAATCTACTGACAAAGTCCTGAAGTCACACAATGATGTCAGATCAAAAAAGAAATGTTTTCTCCACTCCTATTTGCGACCTCTCCATCCCCACTCCACACTGAATCTAAATTGTTCTGATCACATATCCTTAAAGTCATTCCTTACCTTCTGAGGATACATGACACAGATTGTTACATCACAGGAGGTGGCTATTCCTTCCATTGTTTCTCTGCTGTCTCTTAATAAGCAATGCACCTGCTGTCACTCCCAATAATCCTGCCCGTTCTTCCTTTTCAGACAATAATTCATGCTTGTTGAACTGAATCTATTTCCATTGCACTCATTGGCAAAGTATTCCAGATCCTACCTGCTCGCTGAAGGATAACATTTCTTCTCGTGTCGCCAATGATTCTTTTGCCAATTACTCTAAATCTGTAGCCTTTGGTTCTCGATTCTTCCATCAATTGACAACCGTTTCCCTCGACCTGCGTTGCCCAGGCTTCACAGGATTTTGAGCACCTTCATCAAGTCTCCCCTCAACGTTCACTGCTCCGAGAAATGCAGCCTTAACTTCTGCAATCTATCAATAACACTGAAGTTATAATAAATGCACAGCTGACTGCATATGGGAA